AGATGATGAGCTTGAGCAAGAGGAGGTTCAGCAGGAGAATACACAGGCACTACAACAACAGCAGCTCGAGGATACTTTGGCTTCCACTAGGCCAAAGCGAGCATACAAGCAGGTACAGAAGCTGGGGGCTGATCAACCCCTGAAGCACTATGGGCATGTTAATTTGGTTGAATACGCACTTTCGGTGGAGGAAGATGAGCCGGTCTCCTTCAAGGAAGCTATTCGGGATAAAGATAGTGAGAGTTGGTTGGCTGCGATGGAGGAGGAGATGGAATCTCTTCGGAAGAACCAAACATGGGAGGTGGTCCCATTGCCCGTAGGAAGAAAAGCTATTGGTTGTAAGTGGGTGTATAAGAGAAAGGAAGATTCTTCAGAGCTCGGTGGTACAAGGTACAAGGCGAGGCTAGTGGCTAAAAGGGTTGTACAAAGAGAGGGTGTGGATTACAATGAGATCTTTTCTCCGGTGGTGAAACACACTTCTATTCGGGTGCTATTGAGTATTGTTGCTCATGGTGATCTTGAGCTGGAACAACTCGATGTTAAAACGGCCTTCTTGCACGGAGACTTGGATGAAGAGATCTACATGCATCAACCTGAGGGCTACAAGGTTGAGAATAAGGAGCATCATGTATGTCGCTTGAGGAAGTCACTCTATGGACTAAAGCAATCTCCTCGGCAGTGGTACAAGCGATTTGACTCCTTCATGCTAAAGCATGGGTTTTCCCGAAGCGATTACGATTGTTGTGTTTACATTCAAAAGCTTCGTGGAGGTGATTATATCTATCTCCTTTTGTATGTGGATGACATGCTTATTGCTTCAAAGAGCAAGGTGGAGATAGATAGGCTAAAATCTCAACTTGGTAAAGAGTTCGAGATGAAGGACATGGGCGCTGCTAGAAAAATACTGGGTATGGAGATTAGAAGAGAGCGGGCGAATCGGCGATTGTTTTTGAGTCAGAAGGGCTATATAGAGCGGGTGATCGCGAGGTTCGGGATGCAAAGTGCTAAGTCGGTGGCGACTTCATTGGCTCCACACTTCAGGCTTTCAGGTAAACAATCTCCCACTACAGCGGAAGAGAAGGCGCACATGGAGCGCGTTCCCTATGCTAGTGTAGTTGGCAGTTTAATGTACGCAATGGTGTGTACACGTCCAGATATTTCACAGGCGGTTAGTGTGGTCAGCAGATTCATGGCAAATCCGGGAAAGGCGCACTGGGAAGCGGTGAAATGGGTCCTGAGGTACTTGAAGGGTACTGCGGATACGGGATTGTGTTTTGGTGGAGATACATGTCAGATTGACGGGTTTGTTGACTCAGATTATGCAGACGATCTAGATATACGACGTTCTACTACTGGTTATATATTTAGGATACATAGAGCTCCAGTTAGTTGGCGATCGATGTTACAGGCTACAGTGGCACTTTCTACTACAGAGGCCGAGTATATGGCCATGGCGGAGGGAGTGAAGGAAGCATTGTGGTTGTGGGGTCTTCTAGACGATTTGGGGATTGAGCAGGAGAACGTGAACTTGTGGTGCGACAGTCAAAGTGCGATTCACTTGGCGAAGAATCAAGTTCATCATGCTCGTACCAAGCATATCGATGTCAGGTATCATTTTGTGCGGGATGTCATAGAGGAAGGATATATTTCTCTCATGAAGGTGCATACGAATGAGAATCCAGCAGACATGTTGACCAAGGTGGTTCTGGTGATGTTCGCGGTGTTCTTCTGGTGTTCGTCCAAAATTTGAGGTTTATCAAATGTTGTACGAGGTGGAGAATTGTGAACAGCGGTGTGGGTCTATCCATTCACGCGGAAAGAAAAGACGTGTGGGGACCATGAACACGTTTTTTCTTTTGCTGGCTCGTGAACGCGTTTTCCAGCTGGCAAAGCAGGTCCGGATTTTTCCCTATAAATAGCAATGATCTCCTAGGGTTTTGTGACAAGGGTGAAAACGCTGAGGGGAAATTCTTTAGGCGGCTGCTGTGGGAAATCAAAGTCGGCAGCGTGTGTGGGAACAGCGGCTGAAAGGAAAAACACACTGTGGGAAAATCGCTAAAGCCAGAGAGGGTTCTTGTTTCTTTTTGGCGGCAGAGCAGAGGAAATTGCAGCAGTTGTTGAGGAGAGAAAAAGAGAGATTCTACAAAAGAGAGGTTTATTTCTTTTGGGTAAAAATCAGATCTTTGAGACGAGCTTGTGGATTGTACAAGTCGTCGGTGTTCTCCTTATAGTGGTATCTCCCCTCACCCCTCCCGTGGACGTAGGCAAGTTTGCCGAACCACGTAAATCTCGTGTATTTACTGTTTTCTGGGTTGTTGGCTATTGCTTTTAGGATCCCTCAAAATTCGGTCTTGCGCTGATGAGAGGAAGAGTGGATATCTCACTTCGCTGAGATATTTCGCTACTGAGTCTGGGTATCCTTCGCGAAACACAGATATCGAGGTTGACTTGTGCTTTTGTGACAACAAAAGCCAGGGCTCTCTCTCAGGACATATCGCTTCCGCGGCGGTGGGCGTGACTCTGCCCCCAACACATACCGTGGGATCGAAGTGCACTCAACAAAGCCCAGGCCTTTGTGAAGTTCAATCCTTTCATTACAATCTCTTTTGCTGCTGCATCAGCGTGGATAGTCTTGGCATTGAGTCGCACTGCGAGCACCTCTCCAACAGGGGCAGTAGCCTTGGCATTGCACGTCCGCCTGCACTTGTCCCTCTTCCAAGGGCTTCTCGACTGTGGAGCCTGGTCATCACCACTCGCGCCCTGCATCTGTCGACAATGCTGGCTGTCACGTATTTGGGAGCCCTGAAAAGTCTCAGCATACCGGCTGCCATGTACTTGAGAGACGTGAAAAAGCCTCAGCATGTATTTATTTTCATGCCTGATCGTGTTGGAAGAAGTTGGCTAACTGAGAACAAGAACATGCGGAATTCTTGTAATTTATTCTCCAAAATAGTTAAGTTTCTTCCAAGATATTTAAGGTGATTCAATCTAATACGACCTCTAGCGGCCAATTACTGCTCTACCACTACAAATTTGTGAAGGCTAGCTTGCGATCACATAGAATGTATACAAACACTAACAAATTTCTGCATTCGTTCCATATCAATCAACAGAAGATAAAACAGTCAACAATAACCTGTAAATAGAACAAACAGTAACTATCAAGTAGCAGGCCTACAGCTTTTCCAAATATTCACAACTTGGTAGGGCTGGAAAATCAACAGAGAGATACTTTAAAAAAATATGAAGTGCAACAGATCTTGATTCTAATATCCATCAAAACTGGACCTGAATCCACCAGTAACTGAGATATTGCAAAACAACCATCAGGCCTCCAAATTTCGGTGAATAAGATCTAAGAGACTTGCAGCTTTCCTCTTCGCTCGATCAGTTCCACCGTCGGCCAACTCTTTCAATGCTTCTTCTGCCCCCAATTCTTTCGCAGACAACAATAGCTGCATATCACTGGAACAAAGTGACCAAAGCACTGCTGCCGCATTCTCCCTATTCCTAGGAGAAGCACTCCTCATAATCTTCACCAAAATCGGAACAGGCTCTGACTGCACAATTGCAGTTCTTCCTTCATGATGACTCGCCAAAACCGCTAATATAGCCAGTGCTTCATCCACCATTCCCCCACTTGGATCTACCAATAGCCTCATCAAGTGCCCTATGATCCCAGCTTTCACCGCCCTCACCTTGTTCCCCTGATAAATAGTGAGGTTAAAGATCGCAGTAGCTGCATCTTTCTTTCCTCTTGGACTCCCTTCGCATAGGAGATCAAGTAGTGCAGGTATAGCTCCAGCTTCTCCGATCATCACTTTGTTCCCGTCGACAACTGATAAGCTGAAAAGGGTAGCTGCGGCATTCTCCCTTGCTTCCATGCTACCATTTTTAAGAACTTTTACGATCTCTGGTATTGCACCGGAACTAACAATACTAGCTTTGTTACCTTCATTGATCGAAAGATTCAGCAATGCTGTGACTGCATGCTCCTGTGTTCTTGAATCTTGAGAAGATAAGAGGGCGACAAGCAAAGGAATTGCACCTGCTTCAGCGATGCATACTCTGTTACCGCCGTTTCTTTTTGCAAGCAGTCGGATTTCACCGGCAGCTGCTCTTTGTTTTTCTGTGCTCCAACTCTGCAGATTCATCAGTAGCAACCTAATGGTTTCATGGTCACAGTCAGCGCGGGTTCCTGATCTCACGTCTTGGCTACTCCCAGCCTTTTTGGGGGGTTCAATGCCGTTGGCTTCACACCACTGCACAATGAGACTCTTGAGGACAAAATTGGGGGTCAGAGCAGTGTGTGATAGATTTTGTTGAGTCTTGGGGCATGTCTTGTGCCCTGAATCCAGCCACTTTTGGATGGAAGACCTCTCATATGTCTGACAACAAACATTTAATCAATACTCAAAGATTTATGAGATGGTTTAAAATTAGAATGAGATCTAGATGAACTTTACTCTACCTGTCCTGTGGAGACTATTACTGGGTCCCTCATCAATTCAAGAGATATTGGACACCGGAAATCATCAGGAATAACCGGAGATCTATACATTGATGAGATATCCTTGCTTTCAAGGTTTTCTGACATGGGAGGTTCCACGAGAACAGAGTCTTTCAGTTTTTTAAGCAACGAGGACATTTCCTCGAGGCAATTGTCTGGGTCTCCACCATTTGAAATTACCATTTCATGTAATGCAAGAGACTCTTGCTTCAGTTCGTTCATTGTTCTGAGCTGTAGCTTTTCTGAAAGTCTTTTAAGTATATTAGAGTCAGAGTACTTCCCAATTTGAGCCAATGACAGATCAGAGAGAAGTTGCAAATCAGGCGAATCTGCTCTTTCTTTAGCTCTTCGAAACTGAGTATGAACAAGTTCAACCTAGAAACATTAAAGAAACTTGAATCAAATAGTCATGATTATTTGCAACCACAGCTCACATTTTATGATCTTAGCTAAACGTTACCTGTTCTTTAACTTCTTCAGAAATCTCCAACTTTTCATAGGGCACACCATTTAGCGCATCATCGATACTTCTGGTGACCTCTTGAAATTTAATTGCATAGCTTTCTCCTTTCAGAGCCTGACACGATATAAATCTTGCTATAGGAAATTAGTCGGAAAGAAAGAGGTCAATGACAAAGGATGAAGTTTGATATAAACCAATTTTTGCAGTTTGATATAAACCAATTTTAGGCTTAAATTCTCATAATTGGACCTCAAACGCTTAAAACTTCGCTCAAAAGAACCCAAGTCAGCAAAAGAGCAACTCATATGAACCCAAGAATAAGAAAACACTCTTTTAAAATGCAACATTCATTAAAAAAAAAATCTACAAACTCACAACATTAGGCTTAAAAAGGACATATACAAGTACTTTAAACTTGTTCCAAAACCAAGAAAGATAGCTAATCAGAAATCTATCCAAGCAGGAAAAAATTTTCCCACATACCCTCCAATTGAATCTATATTTGCAAATTTACCCCCTAATCTAGATATTCTCTCGTTGATCCCCCAACTTTACCAACCCGAGTTGAAAATACCCCAAAATATGAAATTTTCTGTTAGTTGTTTAGCTCGAATTCCCTCCTTCCACCATTAAACTAAAAATGTTAAGCTTGCGCATTTGTACTGGATGTGGTAGAATATGGGGGTAAATTTTCAAATATGGCAGGTTTGGGTCTATAAGACTTTAAAAAAACTTAATTTTACAGCAAAAAACAATCAAAATTAAGTTTTGGATCCAGATTATCCAACCAAAAATGCTCAAATCACTCAAAATATACCTGATGGAGCTTGCTCCCTTGATTAATTGACAGAAGCAAGTCCTTAGCAGAGCCCAAGGCATCAAGAAGAGCCGAGAGAGCTCCGACCTCAATTCCTTCGACGGATCCCTCGTCCCCAATCCCATCGCGAATCTCGTCGAAGAGCGGGCTCAGGAGCTTCGCTCTCCTCGCCAGATCGCAGCACGATCGCCGAAACGGGCCGCGGAACTCTGGAAGGCTCGAAATCTCGCAGGCGAGCTTCGATAGAGAGTCGAGCAATCGGATTCCTCTGGCTTCGGATTCGTCGTCCTCGGCCGCTGGTCCCATTGGAGAGGTAAGAGCAAGAGAATTAGGGTTTTCTCAGCAGAGAATTTTTTTTTTTCCTTCTTTCTTTTTTTCCCAAAGAAGAGAAAGAAGAAGAAAGGGAGAGGGAAGAGACCGCAACACAAGAGCGGAGGAGACTTTTTATAAATTCACCCCATATTTTATCTGGAACAACGCTGTACGTATTATTGCAGGAATTTATTAGCGGGTTTGGATCTTACACGTGATTCAATTAGGTATATTTTTTACAAATCAAACTTGGGTTTATATGATTAGATATTAGTCCCTCACCATCGAAGTTACTCATAATTAAGTACCTCAAATTCTAAGGGGTCTTGCAATTTGATCCCTCGATGATAAAATACCCCTCGCTTCATGTACTCCCAAAGCTCTTTGCACGCGGGAAACTATTAACGGGGACGTTTTGGTCATATTGAGAGATCAGAATGCAAGATTTTCCTCTGGATTTAGATTTAGTTAACGGATTACACATGATTTGGCTTGGGGGGTAATGACGGTTAATGGAAGGTAAGTGAACTGTTAATCATGTTTGGAAACTCATTTAGGAGGGTAACGAGAGGGAAAGTTAGTTAATTAAGGCGAAAAATTTATGGAATTTCATTATCCACCAAATTAGGGTGTAATCGAGATTGTCCCACGGTGAGAACTTTGCTCTTCCCACGTCAAATCTGATGACAGCTGAGATTGAGTTTGAGGTTATTTTACATTTTCTTTATTAAAAGTTTCTAAGCATGGTAGTGATTGAGTTTCCTTAACTCTCTTTACGAAATTTTCTAACTAGGATTTATATTTTCTCTTAACTTGGTCCAATACCCGCATGCCAAACTAGGTGTTAGAACATTTCCCTGAAAATTCCAAGTCATAAGTAGGGTTGAGCATGGTTCGGTCCAAACCGAAAAAACCGACCGAACCGACCTGAACCGACCCGAAAAAATCGGTTTTATGAGTATGCCAGTTTCGGGTCGGTTTGAAAACTTTTCAACCCAAACCGACCCGAACCGACCGAATATAGTGTAATACTACCCATTCTGATCTCAAACCCTACCCGATCCGTCTCCAAAGAGTCAAAGACTCAAACCCTAAACTCATTTTCTGAATCATTATGGGTTAAAAATAATATCATTATATTAATATTTAATGTTTCATAATCTCCTACTTTATTGATATCTTTTTTTTTAACACAGTTTTTTATTTGATAAGAAGTTTGATAAAGTTAGAACCGAACAAACCGAACCGAACAGTACCGAACAGACTTACAACAGTTCGGTTCGGTTTTGAATTATAGACAGTTCGGTTCGATTGTTCAAATTTTGGTAAAAACCGAACCGAACCGACCGTTGCACACCCCTAGTCATAAGAGAAGGTTAGGATAGACGGTTTATGATTACAATTGTCTCGGGGTAACTACCGAACTAATACAATCAATCACTAACTTCAAACTTGATGATACCGGAATGAGTCCTATATATATGATTTTGTGGAGATACATATGCTAGAGTTACTATATTTGACAATATTGCAATATTTTTTCTTTTCAATGGACATGGTTCATTCGCTGGCGCGGTGAATTTTGACATGAATTGTTTTCAGGGGTGTTTGGCAACTCATTAAAATTAGGTCAGGGTCTAACCTGACCCGGTTTTAACCTATTATCTGTTTGGATAAAACCGAGTCAATTCTGGCCCAACTTTTTAAGGTCATCTTGGGTCCTTTAAACCAGGCCAGAATTGATCCACCCCCTAGCTGGATCAACTCAGGAGTAGTTAAGAAATTATACATACTTGACCTTGTTTCTATTGTGTTTGCTAATATCAGCAGCAAACTGTTTTGGTGGAAGGGGGGAAATTACACACTATTTTGATTTCAGGATTCTTAGAAAACAAAACAACCATCTTTTTTATCCTGTATCTCATTTCGCATTTTTTTAAAGATAATAGTAATCCTTACGGTGGAAGAAGGATTTTATTGTGTCTTATATTAATACATGTAAAAGTTAGAATATGTTCCTTTGTTACTGTGAAGTCTAATTATCCAAATTATAGTATTTGTATTTAGGTTGTAGAATATATGTGTACATAAAGGAAATATGTCTTAACTTAATCTAATTGATAAAAACATTCCCAATAAAATTAAGTATGAGGATTTTATTTGTTAGATTGTCACAATTAAAGCAGGTAATTTTAATAATATTTCAGATAAACTTCTGCAGCTCATTTTATTATGTATTCTTCCGTCTGTCCAAATCCATCTTGATCATAGAAATTCGTGGAAATGGCCCACGAGCTATAAGAAATATGACGTGAGGAAAACATCATTTGGAGAATTTTATTTTCTTGGGGTTTTTAGATAAAATAACACTACAGGCACACTCTCCACCACACCCCCTCTCTTGCTACAGTGCAGGGGGGCCCACCTGAGATTTTTTAAAAAATCTCAGGTGGGCCTTCCTGTACTGTAGCAGGAGAGGGGGTGTGGTGGAGAGTGTGCCTGTAGTGCCACTCTTTTAGATATCAGTCCCTTAAATATTCAGTAATTGCGTGTTAACCCCTCAAATCTTGGAAATTGCATAGTAGGCTTTTAAATTCTATAAGGTCTTGCTAATTGGTCCTTCAACTTAAATCACGATACATTTGAGAGAAATATTCCGTCAAATGTAATAGAGGCAAAATGACCGTTTTACTCTTTATTATGTTCCCCAACTTATTTCTTAATAGGCTTAAACTCAATATCCGCTTTTTAAAAGAAAGGCAAATGCCCTTGAGTTCTTCTTGTTCAATGGTTATAAAAGAGGCTTAACTCAAAGTTAAGCTTCACAAAAGGTTTGAAATATCAGAGAAAGGGGTGGTTTGGTGATTGCAAATGGGGTTGGGAGTTAACCCAATCATCATTAGGTTTTCACTGAAACTAGTTTGCTGTCCGTGCAAAGCACGACGATAAATTTTTTCATGCTATAACAATCATGTTTCTTAAATGGTACAATAAGTTTTTGAAGTGCTAAAGTATCTCGCATTTTGAAAGTGCTACAGTAATAGTGTTACTGTTCATAACGGTCCTTGAATTGCTACAGTATTTCACGTTTAAAAATTGCTTTAGTGCTACAGTGGTAAACCTACTGTTTAATTTACTGTAGCATGAATAGGAATTCTCTGATCCTCCTATTTGTATAAAGGGATAGATACTAATCAAGGGATAATTTTGCAATACCTTATAGGATATAAAGGACTAATAGGGCATGAATCGGTTTTCTAAAATTAGGGCGCAATGCCTATTCAAAGTATATTACAATAAGTAGTAATTACGAGGTGCCAAAAATTTTATGGACATTTATTCCTCTATAATAATGAGAGGATCTAAAATTCATTATTCATGAACAGTAAATCGTTGTAGTATTATTACTGTAGCACAAACATGGGATCCAAGATTTACTATTCATGCTATAACAAATCGTTGTAGCATTATTACTGCAGCACAGGTGAGAGTTGTAGCGTTTTTTTTGAAACATTACTGTAACATTATTACTGTAGCTCAGGCGGAATACTGTAATATTTAAAAATATTACTGTAGCATTTATAAAAACTATAATAAATATAAAATCACTGTAGCTAGGGATGGCAAAATGGACCCAAAACCAATTGCCCACCCATACTCACCCGCCAAATGAACCATCCAAACCCACCCATTTAGTTAAATGGGCCATAAATGGATAAGTATAGTTTCTATTAAAGATAAATGAGTCATTAATGGGTGGGTTATTACCCACTCATTTGTCCGTTTAGATGGATATTATTTTAAAAACACCCTCAACGCTTCAACAATAACAAAACTTATTTTGAAAAGTTAAAAACTATAGAAAACACTTAAAATGACTAACAACCCCTTAAAATTTTGAGATTTGCAAAAAACACCCTTAAAGTTTAAAATATTATAAAAATGTCCTCAAGAGTCAAAAATTATAAAAAAACTATCAAAATTTTCTAACCTCACAGATGACACATGAAATTCAAAAATTACCAACAGCCCCCTGAAATTTTATAATTTACAAAAAATACCCTTAAAAATTATAGAAAATGAGAAAAACACCCTCAAGACTTCAAAATTACCAAACAATCTTAGAGTTTTCTAAACTTGCAAATGACATATGAAATCTAAAAAAATTCAATAGTCCCCTATAAATTTAAAATTTACAATTAACACCCTTAAAGTTTTAAATTTTTAGAAAAACACCCTCCATAGTTTAGAATTACAAAACCATCCTGAAATTTCAAAACCTACAAATGACACATGAAATCCAAAAATTACTAACAGCCCCCTGTAAATTTATAATTTACAAAAAGAACCCTCAAAGTTTAAAAATTGCAAAAAACACCCTCAAGAGTTCAAAACTACAAAACAATCTTAGAATTTTTTTAAACTTGCAAATGACACATGAAATCTAAAAAATTTCGATAATCCCCTATAAATATCAAATTTGCAAGTATTACCCTCAAACTTTTAAAAATTACAAAAAACACCCTCAAGGATATATAAATATAAAAAGTAGGTGCTCACAATTCTTCGTCGGCAGGAGATATATGCGTGTGCAGCCAAGTGTAATTTGCAAAACTTGTGTCTATTGCGCGAGAAACAGGAGAGAAAGAGAATGTGTATTGTTATCCAGCGTGATAAAAGAATTTTAAGGAGAATTACTTGGGGACACTCTGTAATTAAGAACAAACATGGAAAAAATAATAGACTTTAACCAACAACAAATATGAAGAAATGAACAATTACGCTCATAGCTCATGGATTTTGAACAAAGGAAAGAAAAACACCATCTCTCTCAAAGCAGTTCAGCTCATGGATTTTGAACAAAGGAAAGAAAAACACCATCTCTCTCAAAGCAGTTCACGCAAGGCTAAGGAGATGCAGGATTTTTAAGATCCTCGGAGTGGGACGTGATATTTTTACCATATTTTGTTGACAAATTTAGGCAGCAAAAAGATTTAGTTATGATTTTTTTTTATGGAATGTGTGGTGCGTGGGTTTTTAGAGCCAAATTTAGTTAGGATGTTTTTATCAAATAGAGCTGTTAGGTAGTGTGGTTTTGTAAACCGTGCAAGGTGGGGTTTTCTGAAGATATTTTGTCATTTCTTTGCTCTATCCTAATTTGACCCTAAGATGAAGAAGAACTGAATTAAATGTTGAGGGTACTCCGGTATTCTGAAAATTTTGACACATGACCAAAGTATGTGCTTTTTTTTAAATAACCGAGTAGGCAGTACACTAAACTTGTTACAAGTCCATCTCTTCTTTTGCTCAGCCCCGTCATCATTTGCTTTTTTTGCTCACAATTCTGTCCTAATTTTCCCAAGTAGTCGATTCAATTGAGAAAAAAATATTTACAGAAAACCCCCTAAAAGTTTGCAAAAAACTCCTTGAAAGTTTGCAAAAAAACCCCTTAAAGTTTACAAAAAAACCCCTAAAAGTTTACAGAAACCCCCCTGAAAGTTTACATAAAACCCCTGAAAGTTTACAGAAAAAACCCCTAAAAGTTTACAGAAAACCCCCTGAAAGTTTACAAAAAAGCTCCTGAAAGTTTACAAAAAAACCCCTAAAAGTTTACAAAAAAACCCCTAAAAGTTTGTAAAATCCCCCTAAAAGTTTGCAAAAAAACCCCTAAAAGTTTGCAGAAAACCCCCCTAAAAGTTTGCCAAAACCCCTAAAAGTTTGCAAGTAGATCCCGGAAACTTACATATATATAAAAACATCATAATCATAACTAAATGAGTTATTGGGTCATCCATGAACCACCAACCACCCATTTAGTAAATGGGTGGTTGAGAAGTGACCCATTTAGCAAATGCTAAATGGGTCATAAATGGTCAAGTGGTCATAAATGTGCCCACCAATTTATGACCCAAACAAGACCTAATCAAAACCACTCATTTGACAACTCTAACTGTAGCAGAAATAAAAAATAGATACCGTGTTTTGCACACTAGTGAATCTTATAATCCAAAGCTGAAAGTTAGGCCTTATTCATATTAATTATGAAGTTTCTTGGATATTCAAGTCACTTTTCAAAGTAAAGGAAGGAATTCAAATAGGTTACATAGAGGTACCTTATATTCTCTTTTGAGCAGTTAAATAAGTATTATTTGTACTCACTACAATGCTTCTGGCCATTCTTCTGTTTTTACCACAAATGTCTTTCTCATTTATCTACAGAACTAAATGCATGTTTGTAATTGTACGATCCACGGAGTCAGAGAGTCAGGAGGCCATTAGCCGTAAACTCTTATCATTATTGTTTTGTTTTTCCATTTACAACTTGATATCTAGCACAAAAAGCAAAAGCTTGTGAACCAAATGACAACATTTTCAAAAGTTGTCCGCACTGTACAAAATTATTACAATTCTATGTTCTTACCGAAATGAATTTTTAGACAAAAAAGGAGGATAAACCATAGAAAAAGAAATTCAACAGATTGGTCGTGTAAATAAAAGGAGAATATAAGAATTAAGAGTAGCCCAAAAAACAATCAAAAAACAGGTTTCTACGGATTCAACTCTTCGAGTTAACTGTGATGCTCTTTGATAATCTCTGGCCCCTTTTCTTTATGAATATCATGGGTGAAACGAGATTCTGCTTGTCGATATGGGATGCGTGAAAAAAAAACACAGAGAGATTCTGCTTGCCGAGCACAATGACAACTGCGAAGAGAAAACAGAAAGTTAAACCATAGCTATATGAAGTCAAGATACATGTTTCTCAGATTGAGAAATGATGCACCTCTTCAGATGCATTTCAGAATTCTTTCTAACAGAATATATCATGGGAGATTTGAGCATTCAAAATCACTTGTATCTCCCTTTTATGACATTTGGCAGTTGGAAATGAGAATCAAAATATGTTGCCTAAACATGCAACACCAAATATTAGTTTTCCCTGATTGCAGTTCGTCATGATTAATGAAACTTGGTTCTGAACTTTGGTAACTGCGTAGAGAAGAAGCTTTGCCTATCTAAAGGAAAAAGTACCATGACAGGCAAAGTCTGAAAGTGAACTCTCCTAAACTTGCTAAGTTAGGTTTTAGCGTGCATTTGTTTGAGGTCTTGCAGTTTTGAAACTTTTCTTTTGGGACGGTCTTCGTGTTCATGGATGACATTGATGTGAAGACTTCAAATTGCTCTGAAATGACTTCGATAAATTTGGATCAAGACCTTGAACGTGGCACCAAGGATAAGCGTATTGATTGTAAATAGAATAGCAAGATGTGTGCTTATTCTGAAGACTACCAAAGAGAACCTAGAAGAATAGTAAAACTGGTGAATATTAATTGAGAGAAGCTAAAAGAGCATCCCTCTTTCTAAGAACTAGCTAACTCTCAATGCATCTTTGACTCCATCAGCTAAAGAAATCTAGACTGCTGAACTGTTACTGAAAGAAGACTTAGCAAATGCATCTTTAACCCTGTAAGTCAAAGGTAAGGTAATCTCTAAATGTCTTCTCTTAATTTGTACTTTTTCCCCTACAACTGTTTCTGGCTGAATAGCACTGGAGTAACCTTTTTTTTTTAAGAGACTGGAGTATCTTATTATAGTTTAAATGACATTGCACTTATATATCCTATCCTTTCGTTTTCCTGACATCTAAATATTCTATTGTTTCTTAAAGTAGCAGTTTACTGCCTTCTTTTAGTTAAATATTGGAATATTCTTCTTAAATATCTGAAACTTCCCCTAAAAACTTTCATGTGACTTGCACATGATGAAAATGAAGGAAATCGTGTTATGTCTACATACATAATACACAGCAGAAGACATGTATGTACAAAAATACTAAGCATGTAAAGAGCATGAAATATTCATATGGATCGTCTAATTAAATCTAACATGATCCTTATTATTAAGTGAGCATACAAGAGTTAGAAAGTCATACTTTCGTAGCGTGATTCGATGGAAGATCGAATAACCCCTAGCTCTTGCTCCTTGTAGTAGAAAATCTCCTTGTAGTGGATCTCCAAGTCTTCAAGTGAGCTTGATAAAATGGGAGTCTTCTTAAGACACAAGGCAAGATATCCACCCCGGGGTTCTTAAAATCCTACTACTTCCTCTTGCTCAAAGATTGCTAAAGTTTAGTAAGAGGAGAGCTCTCTTTTATTCTCTTATGGAAAAAAACACTTAGCCAATTTTTCATTAACCTTTCCATAAGAAAAAGAGCTCATATTTATAGAGTGAAATGTGTTCATGATATGAATGACTCATCCTATGAGTCATGCAATGAATCATCAAAAATTAATGATTAATCAAGTGAGTCATGCAATGAATCATCTTATGAATCATTACATTTCAAAACCATGTGCTAATAAACCATGTGCTCAAACCATACCACTAAGTGACTCATCTCATGACTCATTATACATGGTATGTGTATTTCATAAATGAGAATACCAAATTATTATCACTAATACAGTATTTCATAAATACGGTATATAGTATTATTCCAATCTTTAACTAATTAGTCACTATATGACCAAATAAATCAAGAGTTGACCAAAAGTCAACTGTTGACCAAAAAGTCAACTAGTTGACTAAAAGTTAACTTTATGGGAAAAATACTGGAATTCATTTCCTAAGCACATAGCATTCCGATTTTACCGATATACATAACCGTTTATGTGTATCCGGAAGAAATCATATATGCGTATCAATCATACGCATCACTCCATAAATTGTGTTTCATAGGATTCAAGTACGCGCTTGGTGTGACTCTAGGGCCCAACTTAAAAAACTCGGTAGTGGATCATATCCATAAGTACAACAGAGGTGCTAGCTACACATGAAGACCACCCGGGTATAAGTTGTGATAAAGGTCTGCAAGATGCTTATCCAATTTTATCAGGACCACTCAATGATAATACCGTACAGTCCGGTCTCTTCGTCAAACCATGTCAAACTATTGAGCCTAGGGTATGGCAAACTGTCAAACCCTAATAGCTTGATTAGTGTTTATTGATATTAAACTCATAACCTATAAGATCAAACTGACACTCAGTTTATCTTATTCACCTTGGCCAAGGATTTCCAGGCTATAGTTATATCAAACAATCTTATGACATCAACCCCTATACTGGGAGAGACGAATCCCTTCTTGGCATCTCAATATCTACTTATGTCTCGGGATGTACCCAACAAGAACCGTTATGCACAATTCAATAAGAACTGTGGTTAGGTAAAAGTCTAAATACATCTTTACTGACATATAAGATATTGCACTCATGCCTCAGGTCAAGAGACTACTATGTACTATATCACTTGAGAACTTCTATTTGACAGTTAAGTATATTACCAACTAGATGTTCTCGGCGAGTCGTTCAGTCAACTCATTCACTAATGAGTCACCTGTATACTGTATCTTGATGTCTCACATCAATGATCTAAGAGATTGATCATCTCCTTCAAAAGGAGAAATAAAGCATACACTAGTCTAAACCAAAGTGATGATGTCATATCTCAACACTTCATCAACTAGGAACATTTTAGAATATACGTTACCGACTAATCAGATCTCTTCATTACGATCACTATCCGAAATGTCTGATAGTCTAGTATTTATTCTAAGGACATTATCTGTATATTTAGAACATCAGATAAATCTAACCAAAATAGCATACTATTATTTTGAACAAGGATGTTATATACATATAGGTCCTGTTACAATATACAATAATTGCCTGCAGGGCACCTATATCTAACAGAAAATTGGCTAATTATATCTCTAAAATTGGTTGGATCAGCTAAAAGCGGGAGTAAAAACTAACTTCGGGGCAAATTTTAATTGTTAGTAAATAGCATTGAAGATAGATTTTTCAGTTGAAACCATCATTTTAAGGATTATAATTACCCAATTTCTACTATGTGCAAGTCACACGGAAAATATTAGGGGAATATTTAACGGTAATATTCCAACATTTAACTAATAGGATGCAGTACCATGCTACTTTAAACAACAAAAGGGTATTTAAATGTGAAAAAAACGATAGGGTATATAAGAAAGTCATGTAAACTATAAGGAATTTAAGTGCTATTTATCCACTGTTTCTAAACATATTACCATCCTCTTGCTCTTGCTTTAGCTTCTCATTGAGCTCCCCACATCTGATGGAAAGTACATAATCCACTAGTCCTTTAATTCATTGATATTCCTGTAAGTCCCCTCTTAAAAAAAGTATAATTGTTTTCATTTTTGTTAGCTGCTTCCAAGGTTATTTCCATACAGCAATAAAGTCTTATCCGAACTTTTGGAACTGTTACATTATCCTCTTTTTTGGTCATATTCATTTTTGGCCTTCATCCCCTGGGGATGATGTTACCTCCATTCATAGTCATTAGGTCATCGCTCCATTGAGTATGATCCTGTTACTTCTTCTCACAGCTTGTATTATCAACTTTATCTCATCCAACCCTACTAATTTGATCATTAGAAAAATTGGACATCCCATTTCCTTATGTTCAAAATATGATACTAATAAGGACATTCTATAAGCTATTTGAATTGAGAGATTTGAATAACCAATTAGATATCAAACTATTTTAAGAGCATCATGCAAGGTAACAATTAGCAACTGATTAGTTTTTATGTACCGTTTCCTAACATAGTTTCAAATGTTTTTGTTTTGATGGAAAAGGAAATAAATTATGAAGATTGAAGTCATTTACCTTCAAAAGTTAGTCATATTCAATTAATCTGGTTACTATATGTCTTCAAGTTGAGTCTGAATTTGTTTTCACTAATACAGGCATCGAGTTCATTATCCAATCATTATCCATATTTGAAACTTGTATAAGATCACATCTAAGTCCATGCAACTTAAGCTTGTTTAATATTGCATCATGCAGCATTGCGAAGAAATCTCTTTACCAAATATTGACAGAGTTCAATATCTGATTATTATACTTACATGATCCCATATCTGCCAGAAGAAAAATAAATTATGTAACACCTATAACCTCACCTAACCCGCTCAATTTATTCTCTGCTAAATAACTAGGAAGATATACATATCACAGATAAGTTACATATCTGGACCAGTAAAGTTGAAAAAACAGATAATGTTTATCATTCAAGAACAAGTGGATAAATTAAATGTCATGAAGGTGCCTGAGAATGCTTACCTAATGCAGACTGCAAGCATCATTCCTCCTTTTTCAGCTTATGATATTGAGATAATGCCTTCATAACGTTGCCTCCAGATAATTTCTCCCACCTTCAGTTTGATTGTGACTATAAAAATAGTAAATCAAGAAAAGTTTTAACATTAAAAGAAATGTCAGCATATTGAGTATAGCAACAAAGACATCTGTAATATTAAACAAATAGTATGAGGGACTTAGTTAAACAGCTTTCACAGTGGCATATGATTGACAGACTAAGTACATATGGTACACTCAGATCTGAAAAATAACGATAATGGCAAGCATCTTATTCAAACTCAATCAAGATCCCTTTCAAATGTCAAATCTTGAATCCTTCACAATTCAACTGCCTCAGCATATTAGCGCAGGTTGTCTTCCATACTTGAAATGCACCTTCCATCATTTCCACCTCCAGAATTGGATTGGCATTTGGCATTGACAGAACAGGTAGAAGATGATGTTCCAAAAGTTCATGCCATACTTTGGATGTGTGGTTTGGATAAATTTGATTCGAGCCAACTGCAATGATTTGAGTCAAGAACAAATCCAAATCTTTGAAAAACATCCCAGATAAGGTTGGCTATCTTTGTGTGTATTATGTCCAAAAGTGCTCCGCATTTCAGTTTGTTATGTCAAGAGAACTGCTAGGAGTCCAACTTATGACTCAAAAGATGGGATAAGCTAATGTATCAAAAGATAAGATAGCTAATGTATTTAAGGGTAAGTTTCACAAATCCCTCTTAACTTTGGCCATTTTTCAGATAAACACCCTTAACTATCATAATTTCATAAAAAAGCCCTTAACGTTGACGGCTTTGCCCATAACCCCTAATCTTTTTTTTATTCTACTAAACTCCTTGAAAATTTTTAACTTTAAGCCTCGAAAGTAACATCGTCAAGTCTAACATGTCGTGCCAAGCATGTGAACAAAAAAAAGGCAAAAAACTCCTCAGCCGTGAAAAACTAATGAATAATAAATATGATAAAAAGGGTGATTTTTTTCAGGCTAAGGTGTATTTCATCATGCTTAGCACGTGATATATCAGACTTGACATTTTTTGGGTGATAAAGTAAAAACTCTTCAAAGGGTTTAGTGGAATAAAAGTAGTTCACAAGGGTTACGCCCAAAACACGTCAAAGTTAGTGGGGTTTGTGGAATTAAAATAGTTAAGGGAGGTTT